ACTGTTATTAAATAGGTGAATTGTAGTTATTATCAATTTCATTTACGTCAATACAGATTAAATTTGGGGTAAGAATTAATTAAGTACTATTATTTATTTAATTTATTTCTAACATCATTTGTTTATTATTATTATTTTATTTGAATTAACTTTACTATCATTCAGAAGAACTGGCGAACCAACAAACTAGTCTTCTTGTTCAACTAGTCAAACAAACCACATCTGCAATATCCTATATATAGTTCCCACGAAGCATTTCGCCTAATACCAGGGCTCATCATTCCGGCTGGGATGCGATAGACACAGTCGTGGTCTAAGCACTACTTCTATCATCAACTTTCATGAACAACTACTGTAGAAAATAACAAGATACAATAGAAGACGCAAAGTAGTAGTATCCCTGATATTAGTAAGTGTAGTTATACGTTCGAATCTTCCTTCTCTGTTAGATTCTTTAAAACACATGGTGATTTCTACTTGAGTGAGTGCCTCTAAGCACCCAACCGCTTGGCAGTGCACTTGCCAATTGCAACAACAACATGGAAAGTAATATTTCGGGTAAACATTAGGATACGCTCGTGTTTTGTACATATTCACGGGTAACAACACTTTATGGATAGTCTGCCCAATAAACTCTTTTGACATTTTTACAGTCTCTTATCCAGCACTGTAGCAAGAAATCTCGGGCCCATGCGGAAGAAGACTTTGGTGCCCCCCCCCCTTGTAAGAAGAAACCAATGTCCAACTGTTTCTCACATTTTTTCGTATATCTATTCTGTTCCAAGAGCAGGCCTCCGTAAGCCACCTGAACCACCCTCCACCCATTGCTACGGTCCTGATCTTGTCTATTTTTCATAATTTCCACATATCTACTTTAACTTTAAAAAGTAATCATGGTTTGTTACCAAGAGGTGGATACACTGTCTATTTTTCAATGGTTATTTATGGTGTTTATGTTCTCGATTGTACAAATATTTGGAATCGTCATGTTTTCTGTTTCTATTTGTATTCCAAAATTTGTAACTTAATAATATTTTGTACTAGTTATTTACCAAAAGAACTTCCTGTAGAGACATGTCGAGACTTGTAATATTATAATTGTTTATTCACATACATTTTTGTTTTAGCCATTTCATTTACCTCGTTCTTGCTTTCGGTCAATGTGTGCGACAAGTTTACTTTTTTGCCCCCCCTACCCCACCCCCCAGTGACACAGCGGGATGTCTGCGGACTTACAAAACCCGAAACCGGGTTTCGATACCCGTGGTGGGCAAAGCCCATTGTGTAGCTTTGTGCTTAACTCATATGTGTATATATATATATATATATATACTTTTTCGCCTTGGATTTGAACTTGAGACCTGTCATACGCCAGGAGAGCGCTTTACCAACAGAGGAAAAGGCTTAACCCCAAAGCACTGCCTAATACGGTACTTTTTAACAACTAACTGAAACTGCTAAATGTTCTTTCCATTATCGCGACAAAACCTTATAGATGGGCGTCGCCAGACTTTTCCCGATGAGATGACTGAGGTAAGCTAAGTAACAAATTGAGGGGCTCTACATCTCTACATCTTCAGGACGCACTTATTATAGTATTTAGTGTGGTATGCTGAAAAATTAGGCCTGCTAATAACCGGAGGTTCGCAAATCTCTGGTTTGGTTTTATATTTCCCAAGAGTTGCGACAGTTGAGTCAGAAAAAAAAAAGACAAAACAAATTTGTATAAAAAAAGTATATTTAATGATTTAAAATTAATAATATAACATTAAAACAATACATGACTACAATACAATGGGCAAGTGATCGTATTCACTTTGAAGTTTTAAATATAAATGAAAAACAACAAGAGCTAATGAAGAGTTTAATATAAAATAACACACTCCTGTTGGCTTATGTGCTTCCCCTTGGAAGTTAGACTCAAGGAAATGAAACCACTAACTAAAAATAATCCATAATTAGGTTAAAATATTGACATTTTAATCTGTGTAAATAATCTTGAACTATACAATATAAGTTCTTACTAGGATTTTAACATAAAAAGAAATTTACTTTAAAGTGACGCTAACAATAGTAGAGCCAATGCTTTATGAATTAAAATGAAGCAAGCTCCAAAACTCGTTTGTGAAGGGCCAATGTAAACAACCCGAAGCACTGGCGAGATCCTTATGACATTCACTTTAGACAAAGTGAAAGTAAACAACAAACAAAGCTAAACATCATTCGTGGATCTTCGAGAATTCTCATTAAACAAAATGGAAGAACAGGTACCAACCTGTAGAAACACCAAATTTTAATGCTAGAACTTTAATAAGAATTCTCGCTATGTTAGATAAAACGAAAAAAAAATATCAGGTTCTGCTGAATAAATTAAACGAATAAAAACACAAACAAAGCTTTAAAATTCTCGGTTATTTTTAGTAAAACCATCTTTATCAAATCTGTGTAATTCTGTATAAACTCTGTGTAAAATCTCTTTAAAAACCAGCTCTCTCGGGCCCAACCGCTGTCTTAAATATGTCAATAAACCCTCAAATTTTGATACAAAAAAAATATTGATTGGTGTTTGTTAGACCAATGACAGTAAAGATCAAGGGTGAGTCCACTCACAGCTAGTATCTACTTTACTGACAAATAGTAACTCAACTCGCTAGTTAAAACAACATTGTTATTCCTTTAAGATAATAATGCAAAATATGCTTCTTAATCTTCACTTAACCTAGTTATCCCTTAAAGAAAGTTTACTTTTTAACTAAAGGAAATATATAGTACATCCCCGTACTAAGTTAGGAAGTATTTTGTTTTGAATTTTGTACTATCTGTCCTTGATTTTGCAGTGAAAGACTAGAGGGAAGTCATGACCACCCACCGCCAACTCTTAGGCCATCACATGTTTAAGCGAGCATGTTTGGTGGAATGGGGATTCGAACCCGCGACCCTCAGATTGCGAGTCAAGCGCCCTAACCATCTGGCCATGCTAGGCCATTTTAGGAAGTGAACAAGCTTTGTAATTATTGTTCATTAAGTACAAGAAATACAGGGAAATTAAAGCACATTTTGGGGTAGCTTCAACCCAAGTTTCCCCCACCCCTCCCTAACCACCGCCTCTGGCCTTATATGCTTGACTTAACGGTCTGTATTACCTACTCTACTAAGTCACCAGAATGGCAGTAATAAGGCAAATTGCCCATCTTCATCTCACCCAGCACTTTTAGTTAGTTCTCTGATCTATGTGGGTCTCTTCAGGTGCTCCAATCTAGAATATCCACCAATCTTCTGGCAATGCATAAGCAACATACTGTGCTGGTCGACCAGTGGACAATTCTCGGCCCACTTAGTGAAGTAGCTTATGACCATAAGTATATACGAGTAGCCTCATTCTGTCTCTAGAAGTAGACCAGTGATACCTATGTTGGGGAGAACTAATAGTTATCTACTGGAGTTTAACCTGTTTAGATTATCTTTTTCTCTAGTTAGCATACGTAATATATAGTTTTGACACCAACACTGAACATTTTGACTTGTATGTAGCCAGAAGAATCACCAATTAATGTTAGCACAACTTCACATAATATCTTGGTGTCCCCAATCTTTGTGTTATATAAAGTCTGGAAACTCTTGTGTCTAAAAGCTGTGGGGATCACTAAGTGTAACACAGACTGGATGGCATGCTGCAAAACCCATTCAAGCCATTTCTTGTCATGAAAGCAGCCTCGTCATCTAATTCGACTTGCCAATATCCAGACCAAGTCTAGCATACTGAACCATTGGGAACCTTCCAATGCATCCAGACATTCATCTTCTCATGGCAGAGTAAAGGCTTCAATTTTAGTTACCATATTCAACCATCTAAACTCAATGCCGAACCTAGCCATACTTCCTTCTTCTTGACAACCACTACTGTAGACGACCAAGCACTCTTTGAAGTCTGTATGATCTCATCGATTAACATCCACTGTATTTCAGCACATGAATGCCTGTATAATAATTGTTTAATTAGACATGCATCACCAGTATCGATGTAACACTGTTGTTTGACCCAATCAGCCATCTGGTCCCACAAGTGCTTCAGCGTAATTAGTCAAAAAGTCACAATGTGGTTTTTAACTAGCGAGTTGAGTTACTATTTGTCAGTAAAGTAGATAATAGCTGTGAGTGGACTCACCCTTGATCTTTACTGCCATCGGTCTAACAAACACCAATCAATATTTTTTTGTATCAAGAATTTGAGGGTTTATTGACATATTTAAGACAGCGGTTGGGCCCGAGAGAGCTGGTTTTTAAAAAGATTTTACACAGAGTTTATACAGAATTACACAGATTTGATAAAGATGGTTTTACTAAAAATAACCGAGAATTTTAAAGCTTTGTTTGTGTTTTTATCTGGTCTTGTTGGCATTTGATAACTCCCTCACACATCATCAGTTACACAAGTTACTGGATAAAGTACATCCATCCCAAAGATGGTGATGCCAGAACAGAGGCTGGTGACAACTACCTTCATTCTATGAACCACTCCTCTTAGGCAGAGCAAGATAGTTGCCTTCACATTCGCCTATAGCTTATCTCCATTCACCAGAAAAAGGTTAGTTTGGACTGGCTCATATATCATAAGATCTACCAGTGTTTTGGGTGCTTCTCAGCTTCTGTATTAACTAGGAACTTTCTTTGCTTTGTACTCTGGTAGGCAAATAACAAGACTCATCCAGTCCTAACAGAGATGAGCTAATTACCAAACTTTTTGAGGCAAGCCGTTTGTTGTCCTCTCCCCAAGTTGGTGGCTAGGCCCAATCCTGGCTCCGTTAGTCTCCCAGTGCTGCAGCAGAATTGTTCACTGCCTATTTATTGTTCTATCTCCTGCGTCTGCTAAGCCATCAGTTGAAAATGACAGCTTTGCCAGCCTTGCTGCTTGGCAATGTATGGGGGGCTCATTCAAATGAGAATAAATGCATTATAGGCAAAGCAAATGCTTCACTCCGCTGTTCCAGAATGATATCAAGATGGAGGCATTATCAACACAGACTGTGATAAGACTGGGATATTCCTGCCCATTTACTGGATACCAGTGTGGTAACATTGTAACACCAGGATATGCGGGTGGTTGGTTAAACTTCAGCTGGGCTCGAGCATGGCATGAGGTGAGTGCCTAAGTAAGGCGATCTGTCCAAAGTACATATATTACAAGCTTTTTCCTCTCTTATGGTGCCTCATCATTTCATTGAAATCTCTTCCACTAACTTGTTAAGGATATCCTCATGATCTACCAAAACTACAGAGCATGATTTACTGTGTAAATGATACAGATTGTCCACATAAGCAGCTAAACTTTTCATGGTACCCTCTTCCGAATTTTGTATTTGGCCTGATGGATTGTTTGATTTTCCACCAGATCGAACTTTTAACAGAACTTGGCAATGACTTCTTGCAGTCCGAATGATAAACCTCACTCGAGTGTTTGATGGAGTCTTGGACAAGGCCATCTAGAATAAAATCAGGCATTGTACAACTTATTCTGGAGATCAGCTGTTCCAAGTAGTTACTTCGTTATATCACTTCTGGAAGTGGTCCAAATCTTCTTTTGCTGCACCTCTGAGTGTCCGGAAATTATCTGTTTTGCCTCGCTCACGGAAGTTGTGGTCAGAATCTTTGAGCCATGACAGAGATGTCCATAAGTCGTGGGTACAGTGTGGTAGGCATGTTCATGGACTTCTTCTCTCATGCAAGTCAATTCCTGGTCTAGGGCAGCAGAGCGAAGAGGTACTATCAGCAGCTCGTTCATTGGCTCTCTGTAACACCAAGCATCTCTGTGATCAGTGTTTGGCTCATCACTACCCCATGGTTCACTTACTTCACCATTTGGTGCCCGCTCTGGTTGCAAGACTTATGTTAAAAATAGTCATAAAGTTGCTCAGCCTTATATGTTAGGCCCTGATCCCTGACTGACACCAATGTTCTTAATTTATTCTTGCGTACTTTCAAGAATTAATATTGAGATATCAAATATTATATTTTTAGAAGTATAATTTTCTTACACTGAAATTTTTTGCAAGATGCTGAGAAAAGCCATACAAGTTCCATTTTTGCACACTTAGATTGCTTGTTTAAAGAAAATGAAAATGAATTGGACAACGAGGATATTAGAACAAAAATGCTGTAATATCTAGAATCCTCATGAACTTCTGATGTAGATAGACACGTGATACGCTGAACTTGAATCAACTAAAGTGGGTATTCGAGGTCACTAAAGATACGATGTCCTAATGTTACAGTGCCAGATCTGGGAAAAATATATGCCTGTCATTCTTAGATGCTGGTAAAAAATGAGTGGATCTTGACAACATATGATGAATAAATTTACTTTTGACCTAACATCAATTCATAGCAATTTCTTTTTAGGTCAGTCTCCTAAGCTTAAAGCCAGTCCTCCTTTCATGATTTATTATTTAATTGTTAAGTTCTTTATCGAACTGAAATTAAAACTTACTAAGACTGTGGCATTCATTTAATCATAATATCTAAAGATGATAATTTTTATTGAGTTAAAGTTTTTTCACCAGTTGAGCAATGTAGTAGTTTTGTAATTTATTTCAAAACTAGCAAAGGCATCATGTAATGCCGAGATTAACAAGTAATGCTATAACAGGAGGAATGGGAGGCATTTTGAGTTGCAGCACACGAACTATTCGATCAATGCAAAGGAACCCGTTCTACGCGCAGTTATTAACAGTCACTTTCATCTGGCGTCGGCTTCGTGTATTTTGCTATCAATCTCCTCAGTCAGTTGAGTCCTCATTTCAAGCCCCAAGGCGAGGAAATTGAGTGCCAAACCCGAATCGTTTATCTGATTGCTCATCCATTTAAACCTGATATTTGGAGTTCATATCAAAATTGGTTCAGCCAGTTAGTTAATCGCAACAACTTGTGACACCAGACTTTTTCGTTAAACACAGTTGTTTTTGTATGTAGATTGAACAAAACTCGGTTTATGGGAAGTATGCTTTTAGGCGTTCTAGAGTATGCTGTACTTTTTGATATCAAAATAAATTTACGTTTTTGAATCATAAGCCTTTACGTCCTTTGACCATTTACAAAGTTACAAGTTTGACATATTTGGAATCAAGAACTACCAGTTAATCCACAGGAATGGCTTGGCATGGCCGAATAATTATGACACTCAACTCACAATCCGAGGTTCGTGAGTTCGAATCCCGTCTCCAAACATGCTCGCCCTTTCAGCCATGGGGCGTTATAATGTGACGGTGAATCCCATTATTCGCTGGTAAAGAGTAGCCCAAGAGTTAGCCTTCCCTCTAGGCTATCATTTCAAAGTTAAGGACGGCTAGCACAGATATTTCTCGAGTAGCTTTGCGCGAAATTCAAAAACAAACACGAAGGAACAGCTCAAAACACGCTGAACCACTGTTGGCGATGGTAGTTCGACATATAAGTGGAGGGAATGAAGGGTAATTTTTTTCAAAGTCGAAGCTCTACCTTTAAGTGTTTGCAGTTGGGTCCTTCCACTAGTCTGAATAAGGTGGATGTTTTTATTTTTATTATTATTAAACACTAAACAGTAACTGGACATACTACGTACAATAAATCGGTTTTTCACAAGTAGTTATTTCAAGAAGAGCTAAAACACCTTAACTTATTAAATTTTGGGGTTTTTATATTTCCATTTGGTTACTCCGAGGCTTGGAGACATAAGCATGGATGAAAATCGAGTGGTCATTGTGTATTCCAATGACCAATTTAGTGCTGTCATAAATGTCATTCTAAGAACTTATAATTGAAAGCAAATAAGAATATCTAATAATATGTCAACCACACGACACCTGCCATATTTACTACCGACGAGAACGTTCGCACAATACCAAGAATCATCTGGACGACTGGTATAGCAGTGATCTAGACACTTTCATGAACGACAACTTTATGATTTGAACCAGATAAAGTAAGTGAATTATTATTATTATTAACTCTATTTAAGTCATTTACAAATTAGAGTAAGAGTAAGGATTTTTAACACGATATTATTATTTACGTATTTTTCATACCGGTTATTTATTTAATTTTATTATTTCAATTGAAGGGGGAGCTAAAAGTGGTTTAAAAGGATATATTCCATTATAAGGATCACTTGAAATTCGTGGTGAAATTCATAGGTACTTTATAAATCCTTAACCATCTTTGGTATAACATTATTTTGTATGTTTCATACATAAACAATATCAGTAATTTCCTTTAATACTGTAAAAGGACAAGCTACTTATTTTGAACAGTACCAAAATTATAAAGCAGAAGCTAGGCATTTTTGGTCAATACCGTACGTGTTAAATCGTTATTTTACTTGAGTTTAGAACATTTTTTTTAATGTCAGAAAGTCGTTCATGACAGTATAACAAATCAGATGCAGTTAAGCATTTTTATGTTCGTTTGAAATTTACAGATTTCGTGCCAGTGCAGTGTCATGAATTATATAAAAAAAAAGTTAGAAAGAAAACAATTAAAAATGTTCTATGCTTTAAGGTAGTAAGACAGTTGAATCAGATATTAATCTAAACGGATGTCAACTAGAATATTTTCAATTTTTAAAGATTGTAACCAATCAGGTTTTGTTCAGCCATTCATTTTTTCATCACAAAGACCCAGATTCAACAGATCTAGATTCAGTTATAAAATGCAAAACTGCCTTTACGGACCCGTCTTGGAGACTCTAGACTTAGTAAGAAAAATTAAACAAAAAATACACAATATTCGCTCAATCACAGAAAAAAATACAAAATAATCCGTTTGAATGATCGTGATTAGTGCCATGTAAATACGTATGGTTTATTCAAGTACTTTGTCGTTAAACTTCACATTTAGTGCTAAGTTCTATTCTTTGATCACCAAATTGATAGTTTAATTTACAGGTGTTTGAAAATTCGTTATTTCAGAACTAACAAAGGTATTTAATTGCAAGTGATAGCACGAAGCAAGCAAAGCTGAGAAATTATTTAAGCAGCTTGCGTAATTAGAAATACGTGATTTTTATATGTTAAAATTAGCGGGTTATTTAATCTAAATTTCTTCTGTAGGTCAGTGGTACGTTTAGGGACTTACGACGCTAAAATCCCCGTTTCGATTCCCAGTGGGTAGCTTTACCCTAAGATAACAAGAACAACTTACTCTAAAAATGGAAAACGTTGTGTGAGTTAATGAACGTGTGTGTTTGTTTGTGTGAGTTAATGAACGTGTGTGTTTGTTTGTGTGAGTTAATGAACGTGTGTGTTTGTTTGTGTGAGTTAATGAACGTGTGTGTTTGTTTGTGTGAGTTAATGAACGTGTGTGTTTGTTTGTGTGAGTTAATGAACGTGTGTGTGTTTGTTTGTGTGAGTTAATGAACGTGTGTGTGTTTGTTTGTGTGAGTTAATGAACGTGTGTATTTGTTTGTGTGAGTTAATGAACGTGTGTGTTTGTTTGTGTGAGTTAATGAACGTGTGTGTTTGTTTTGCAATATGTATTCCGTAAGACATTCGTTTTTTGTTTGTTGTTAAGCCACCGGGAGAGAAAGATATACGCTGTTATAGATCAGGGTTAATTCAGTAAATATAACAATTTTAGAACAATAAAAAAACCAACGTTAAAGTTCATGCAGGTAATGGTCTCCATCATACGAAAAACACAAAATTGTTGTGATCTTTTACTTTTCTATAAGTCTCATAACATTTTTTTTTTCAGTTGGAAGTATCCTTTTTAATTGTTTTATGTTGCATAGATACCCTTATGTGTTGTATGTTCTATAGATACCGTTTAATTGTCGAAAACAGGACCAGACAGGTATATATATATAAATTGATTTAGTTACGCCTGAGAGACGTGCATGCGTATTTTTAGAGACAAAACAAGCTTGTATTGTCAATATACACAGAACCTGTTGTCGGTAGCTCATCATAACTGTAGTAGTTCGCTAATTATAACACGTTTAAACGGGAATGTATGTCAAAGGTCACTGAATCTCTGGTAATGGGTCAGGCATTACCTAAAGTGAAGTCATCAACGTGTTAGTTCTATATGTAACGGGTTGGGCTAGGTATAGAATTTAAGTTTGGCCACAGTACCAAAGGTAACGATGAACCCGGTGACAAAGGAAGCCCCGTTTGATACCGTCAGTGACCGCTGTTTGTTCGCTCAATGTGCACTGCCATAGGCCGCTGGGATCGATGACGTCAGTTCCCCGCCCCTCTTTGAGGAATGCAGCCCTGGGCCCGACAGACAAGCAGGCTTGATTAGAGTAGCAACAGTAGACGGAGGTAGATTCTTGCGCTTGGCTTGTTCGTTGTTCTTGTTCGTATGTGAAAGAAAAACGGAACCACATGTGAAAGTTTTATACCATTTCGTTTATTTGTACTGTAAGAAAAATTCAAGCATGTGACCAGGTGTACAAGTTGCAGGCAACAAGACACTTAAGCACGTGATTAAAACCTGGTATATAGAGCTAGTGGCGCCAGGTAAGGTTGCAAACGTGTCTACATTTTTCGGTAAGAGCCTTCGGGCTGCCAGGTAGTAGTCTTCACGATGGCGGGCTTGAAGAGGAAGGATCCTTAGTTAGTACGAAGAGTAGAGACTATGTAAGTTGCCTCTATCTTGAAATGAAATGGCAGTGTTTGCGCTACGTTCCTATGGTGTACAAATAGTTACCATACCTACCACTGTATTTGTTTTCGTGCCGTTATATTTCAGGGTTCTACAATGTTTTCTAATGGTGTTGAATTAAGCAGCTTCATATCTAGAAATGACTTAGAAAAAGGACCACGAGTGTTTAAAGTGTTATATTTAGGTGATGCTAATATTCTACAAAGTTTAACAAAACCAAAACGCAACTTAGGTTAAAAAACATCTAGCGTGGAATCTGCTGAAATGAGGCACGTAGCCTGTACAGTCACTTTACTGTTGTTTTTAGTGACGTATGCGCAGGGTCAGAACTCCGGAACACGGGAATTGGGACTGACCATGAAGTCTAGAGAAGTGTACACGAGGGTTCAATTT